GCCATTGCACGATACTCAGCTTCTGCACTAGATCGGGAAACAACAGGTTGTTTCTTGCTTTTCCATGAGATTAAGTTTCCTCCGAAGAAGACACAATAACCAGAAGTAGAGCGTCTGTCCGAGGGTGATCCTGCCCAATCGGCATCTGAGTAACCACAAATTTCTGTATTTCCCTGATCCGAATACAACAAACCTTTTCCTGGTGCTCCTTTGATGTATCGGAGGATCCTCACAGCAGCATCACAATGTGAATCACAAGGGGAATCAAGGAACTGACTAGCCGTACTGACAGCGAAAGAAATATCTGGCCTAGTCATAGTAAGATAATTGAGCTTCCCAATCAGCCTTCGATAACGTCCAGGATCAGATAACGGCTCCCCTTGTCTGGGCAATAACTTAACATTAGGATCCATGGGTGTATCAACTGGTTTACACCCCAACATACCAGTCTCTTCTAGGATATCCAAGGCATACTTCCTTTGACAGATAGAAATGCCCTGTCTAGATTGCGCCACCTCAATTCCCAAGAAGTAACGCAGCTCCCCATGGTCCTTTGTTTGAAATGCACTGAATAAATGTTGTTTTAACTGACGGATTCCGTCTTGATCACTTCCGGTGATGAAGATGTCATCAACATAGACTAACAAATAGATGCACTTGTTAGGAGATGTAATCCTATAGAATACAGAATGGTCAACTTTACTGCGAATTAGGCCAAACGCCTGTACAGCAGAACTAAAGCGACTGAACCATGCTCGAGGAGATTGCTTGAGACCATATAAGGATTTTCGAAGACGACATACCTTCCCAGACTCCCCCTGAGCAACAAAACCAGGTGGTTGCTCCATGTAAACTTCTTGTAAATCACCATGAAGAAAGGCATTTTTGATGTCAAGTTGAAGGAGTGGCCAGTGACGAACAGCAGCAAGGGCAAGAAATAGGCGGACGGACGCCATCTTAGCGACTGGAGAGAATGTATCGCTATAATCAAGACCAAATATTTGAGTAAAACCTTTGGCAACTAGGCGTGCCTTGAGACGATCAACATGGCCATCAGGTCCAGCTTTCACAGTAAACACCCAGCGACAACCAACTATAGACTTCTCTGGAGGAGCAGAAACAAGGTCCCAAGTGCCATTGGTATGAAGTGCGGTCATCTCATCAAGCATCGCTTGGCGCCATCCTGGATGGCAAAGTGCTTCACCTGTGGTCTTAGGAATAGAAACAGAAGAAAGACTAGAAACAAAGGTGAAATGAGGAGGAGAAAGACGATCATAGCTCAAGAAGGTATAAAGAGGATAAGGGTTACGAGTAGTACGTGTACCTTTTCTTTGAGCAATGGGAAGAGCCTCTGGTGAAGGATCCGGAGGGGAAGAATCAACTGCAGGGGGCAATGAGTCAGCAGGGGTCGAGTCGACTGGAGGTACTGTGTTACGGCGCTGATAAGTGAGAAGTGGACGGTTCTCAGGTACTGGAGCAATAGGTGATTGCTTATCTGGAGTAGAAGCACCTGCATCTGACAAAGACAAGTCAAGAAAAGGAACAGGAAGAACATGATCAACCTGTGACAATGGAGATGGGATAGAATTAAAGGGTTGTTGATCAAGAAAGTTGACATCAGCGGAAACTAAGTAACGCTTGATATCAGGAGAGTAACAGCGATAACCCTTTTGAAGACGAGAATAACCCAGAAAAATGCATTTAAAGGCTTTGGATGTTAACTTATCCTTACCAGGAGTGAGATCATGAACAAAACAGGTACAACCAAAAACATGTGGGGATAGAGGAAAGAGAGGAACATCCGAAAACAATAAGTTATGAGGAATATCATTATTAAGCACAAATGAAGGCATGCGGTTGATGAGAAAGCAAGAAGCAAGGACTGCATCAGCCCAGAAGTGAAGAGGAACATGCATGTGAATAAGAAGAGTCCTGGCAATCTCAATGAGATGTCTATTCTTACGTTCAGCTACTCCATTTTGTTGTGGAGTGTGAGGACAAGTGGTTTGGTGTAAAGTACCCTGTGTGGCTAAGAAATGAGAAAAGTCAACAGAAACATATTCCTTAGCATTATCACTATGTAAAATACGAATAGAAGCACCAAATTGAGTATGAATTTCAGCAGAAAATCTTTGATAAATAGAAAACAACTCGGAACAGTTTTTCATTAAATAAATCCAAGTACAACGGGAGAAATCATCAATAAAGGTAACAAAATACCGAAAACCTAAAACAGACACACTTCGACTAGGACCCCAAACATCTGAATGAATAATTGAAAAAGGAGCATCAGCTCGCTTATTGACACGATTAGCAAAGGAGGAGCGGATGTGCTTTCCTTGCTGACATGACTGACAATCTAAAGTTTGAAGACCGGATAAAAGAGGAACCATCTTCTGTAATTTCGCAAGACTAGGATGCCCGAGACGACTGTGGATGAGTTGTGGAGATTCTGTGAGAGAACAAGCAACTGAAGGACTCGGCACATCAAGGTAGAACAGACCCCGTGACTCACGGCCCACTCCAATCATTTTTCCCGTACCCGGGCCCTGAACAGAAACAGATTGGTTTGAGAATGTGACAATACAATTAAAAGAATTGATCAATTTACTAACAGATATTATGTTATAAGGGATGTGAGGAATGTAATAGACAGATGTCAAGGTCAATGAGGAGGTTGGACAGATTTGTCCAATCCCATGAACGGGGGCCTTAGTTCCATCAGCAAGAGTAAAAGAGGGTAAATTTTCAGAATATGTAAGGGAAGAAAAGAGTTCCTTATTACTATAGAGGTGATCAGTAGCACCTGAGTCAAATATCCAAGGACCAAGTGATGCAGAATGAGAAACACAAGCAACAGGATTACCAGTTTCTGAAGCGGAGGCCTGAGATTAAGGAGAGGACTTCCTGAGAAGGGCCTGGAATGCTACATATTCTTCAGAGGGGAGAGAGACTGTACCATTTAAAGCAGTATCCGATTGAGCTATATTAGCAGCAAAAGAAGGTCGCATGTGAGGATACTTTGTGTAGCAGCGTTCCTCATAATGACCAAGTTGCTAACAGTAATGACAACGAGGTCGCTGACCACGTCCGACTGGACCTCCTGGGCCTCTACCACGTCCACCTCTAATATTCCCACGAAAATCAGTACGGGAAACTAGAGCAGTAGAATCAACAGCAGAAGACAATGCAGGAGCAGATTTCTTATTCAAATTCAGAAGACGCTGATACGTCATGGATAGATCAGGCTTCCCACTAGTCAAGATAGTATCACGGACATTATCATATTCTTCGGGAAGGCCAGAAAGTGTGGCAACCATAAAGAGACGTTCCACCTGTTTCCGATATGCAGTAGCATCAGTAGGGTAAGGCAGCATATCCAAATATGCCTGCATCAAAGAGCGACTCTTGCCAATATATGTCTCCATCTGAATGTCGGATGATTTGCTCAATTCCATAAACTGAGAGATGATGAAATAGAGTTGCTGAACATCATTAGTGTAGAGGTTTTTTGCTCCTCCCATACTTCAGTGCAAGTTTGAAAGGAATAAAAGATATCCAAGACGATCGGATCAATGGATTGCCAGAGGATACTCAGAAGCTGGTTGTCAATCTTTTCCCAATCAGACTTGCCCTCCTTAGGGACATCAGTAGACTTAGTCGTGAGATGGTTCCCATATCCTTGTCCAAAGAACCAAACTCGAACAGAGGTGGTCCAGTTCTTGTAATTAAGAGATCCCTTCAATTTTGAAGAGGTAATGGACCCAATATTGGTAGAGATGATATTGGGAGAATTTCTCACAGGAGGAGATGGAGACTTGACCTCCGAATGAATTGGAGAGTTTGCTGCCATAGTATTAAATCACAAAGATATAAACCGAATAAAGAGAAACGAACCTGATCACCAATCAAGAAGAGGTGCGCACAAAAAGTCAGACCCACAAAGAACCAACCACAGATCCAGAAAGAGGAGAAGACGAGCTTCTCTGTCCAAGACCGGCCGGAAAAAAGCCGCCGGAATAGTGCTGACGCGCCGGCAGAAGGTGGCGCGTGAAGCCCACGCGCAGAGAAGACTGGAGGCGCGTGAGAGCGCGTGACAACTCTTTTGGTGGCCGGACTTCCACAGAGCAGGTCGCCGGGAGGAGAGGGTGCTGTTCGCGTTCGTTCCAGACTGAAATCTCGTCGGAAAAGTACTCTGGCAGCCTGAACAGTGGCTGACGGTGGCTGATGGTGGCTCCGGTGACTGTTTGGGGATGTGGACACGTGCAGAAGATGCCTGGAGAGGACTTACAGTCCTTGATGTCTTGCCGGAAGGACGCACGGCAAAGAAAAAATGACTCCTAAGCAGTGGGCTTAGGTTTTAAAGCGAAGAACAAGATTTCTAAGCGGAAGCGAGGGTTTTCAGAACGAAATAGCTATGGTACCAAGTTAAATGTAAAAGAATATGTTGTATATTGATCTGTGTCAGGGAGTTACAATATATAGAGACCCTAATGGGCTTAAGTGAGAGGCCCAAACCTAATCCTAATACAGTCAGAATACAGTCAGAATATTTACGGATAAGACGGAATCCAATCATATCTAATCATATCTAATATTCTAACAATAACTAACTTGCTTCTACAATTCCTGCCACGTTGATAATCTGTTGAGGGGTAGTGAGGTCATCATCATCAGTGTGATTTTCCTTCCTAATCGATGTGTCATCCTGGTTGTTCCCATTTGGGTCTTGCTGAATGTTTGGGCCTTGCTGAATGTTGGGTCTGGGAGCCCAAATCTTCCTGTCCTTGCTCCTCTGATATACTTTTATTGGGATTGTATCAGAGAACAAGATAACCTGATCTGCTCTCTGAAAGCTTTTACACCTTTTATCGAGAGAGGAATATTTTAGGACATTTGTTTAAACATAGATGATAATGGTCTCATATTACAAATATCTTTATTCTTTAATGTATTGTAAATGTAGACTGTATTGCTCAAATTTCATGGTCTTTGTTTAGGTTACAATTGTGACAGATCCACAATCTCAAGGAAGCCAGCCACGTGTCCCACCGGCATTGAAGAATTTCTGTTTCTCTCAAAAGGAAAAAACACTGCATGAACTTGTGAGGGATCAGTGGCTTAATTTGACCACGGATGGTGATATTAAACTTGGTGTGAAGTCATTCCTTGATCTTCGCAATTGGTTTCGAAATAATGATGTTCCATCCTGTCAAGTTTGCAATGAAGCTGGAATAAAGGTTGTTCCTGTTGCATTTGGACAAAATTTTCCTTTCTTTTTCTTCTTTTCCCGTCATTGGTTGTGGTTATTTTGAATCAGCATTGAAGTTTCTATTTACCCTTTGTGTTGGGATTTAAATGTTTTGCAATATACCATTTAAATTTTAGGGAAATTTTCGAATAGAAACAATTAGGTGGTTAATTAAGTCAACAAGTGTTATGGTTAGTTAGTTCAACATCAACAACTTTTATCCCAAACTAGTTGGGGGTTTATGGGGAGTTACATATTGATCACAATTTTATCTAGATAGTATCAGTTATACTTGTGGCACATATTCCTACTATATATCTGAATCTGATAATTCTGTAGTCAATGTATGACAGGCAGAGTTATGCAAAAATGAAAATTGTGCTGTTCGAATTCATCACCACTGCCTGAAGCAACTTTTCTCGCAGAAGAAGGTATTAGTCTTGTTCCATTTTTACCATGATAGAAATGTGGAGAATTTCTGTCTATCTTACTACTACTTATGGTTTTTAGGTTGCCAAAGGTTGCCCAAGTTGTGGCACTTCGTGGCGATATACAGTAATCAAGGCTGAAGCTGTTCAGACTGAAGATGACAATGAACCTAGAGGAAGACAACGAGCTACTGGTTCTAATGGAAAGAGGCATAGAGCCAATAGGATTGTGGAGGATGGAGAAGCCGTTCAGACTGAAGATAACAATGAACCTAGAGGAAGACAACCAGCTACTGGTTCTAATGGAAAGAGGCATAGAGCCAATAGGATTGTGGAGGATGAAGAAGTTGGATGCAGCAATCAGGGTGAGCAAAGCCAGCATGGTAATGGATTGACACGAAAAAGGAGTAGAGCATGTAAAACTAATGATGCAAATATAGGAGGACCAAGTACATCTCAAACCTCGTCAGCTATTCCTGCTTTAAGAAGAGTAACTCGAAGTTCTGCTGGTCTGATGTAAATCAACAATGGTGCTGTTTTGCTGCTAATATTTTACAATTTTTGCTTAACTTAATGAATATGTGAATGGACTTTTGTACTGATGCCGTTAGCTAGTTTTCAGTGACTATTCCAAAATCAGCAATACACTTATTATTGTAGATTGATCTGTGGCTTGAAATGCCAACCTACTAGCAATCAAAATACTAACATGTAAGTTCGTGTTAACGGATCAAGTTAGAGTCATGTTGAGGTAGAGGCATTAATAGTTTGCTCAACTTTGATATTGATCGTTTATTAGTGTTATGCTTCTTCAATCATGGCATTATTCTCTTATTATAAAGTTGACCATGACACTCTGTTTAACTTTATTTAAATATATTTTAATTAATAAAAACTGTAAAAACGTATCTAACTTGATATAAAATTACTTTATAATATGAAATAAATAAATGACATATATGTCCTAACTTTTTTAATTGATAAATATATACTTTTACATTTTTAATTAGGTTGAAGTCCTTAATAATTAAAATAAAGTTCAAGTCCTTAATTGTTAAGTTTTGAAGTTAGGTTCCTTAAGTGGTTGATGTCCTTTTACAACAGTTTTATCTAGTGATAGTTCAAATCCTTAATTGCTTTATTGACAACCAAATAATCTTTTGTTACACAACTTACTTCTATCAGTTGAGTGAACCATCATTTACAATGTATTTTCTTTAGCTCAATCTTTTAGAGGAACTACTGGTGTTAAAATTGAAATGGATATTAAATTGAAAAAACTTTTCGTCTAGTTGAACTGATTCCATAGTTTAAACTAGTTAAATTAACTGATGTCATAAAAAAAATCTACATATAATAATATAAAGTATATAAAATATTCATAAAATGTGAACAAATATTAATCATTTTTTTAACTTAATAAAAAGATAACATCATGTTATAAAAAAAAAAAGAAAAAAAAAAGATAACTTCATTTCGTTAAGTTCAACTAAAATTTGACTATGATTAATTTTGATTAATTATGTTAGGCTTTTTGACCATTTTCCCCTCATTAATTAATTAACAACCAATTTGTCCCTCCCCCAGAACTATCTACCATTCTGTCCCCATTTAGTCGATCAACTTGCACTTTTAATCGACTAAATGGTCAAAATTCAGAAAACATGAATCACGAGATTTAGTCGACTACATCCTCACCTTGATCGACTACATTTCGAGCACTTTTAATCGACTAAGGACATTATTTAGTCGATTAAAAGTCGCAGATCTAGTTTTTAAAAACCCCCCATTTCGCAAAGGGGGTTATTTTCAAACCCTAGTCGATTAAGAAGGCTCCAAGAACCCCTATCTTCAACCAAGTTCGAATCCCATCCCCTTGAAGGTCCAATTGCACCATCATTGGTTCACAACTTGCGAAAGTGACATTGTAGGTAACGTTTTCTGACTTGCATTTGGTTTTAAGTTTTGGTTTTTTTTTTTGTTTTCTCCATGCTTTGGTTTACTGTTTTTTTTTTTTTTCTTGTTTATGGTAGAAGGTTGTTTGAGTTTTTTGTGGCTTTATGTTAGGAGTAGGGTGTTGAGTTTGATGTGAGGGTTAGGGCTAGGGTTTATGTGTTAGGTTAGGGTTAGGGCTAGGGTTAGGGTTTCTGTTTTTTGTTAGGGTTTAGGCTTAGGGGTTTTGTTTGTATGTTAGGGTTTAGGGGTGTGTTGGCTGTTTTATTGTAAGGTTGGGGTTAGGGTTTGATTTTTATATTGAATTTTGAAAATTTTTGATATTGTTATTGTCCATTGATATTGGTTCCACTTGCATTGTAGGTGCCGTTGTTCTCATGGCTGGCCGAAGAAGATCAGATAACGTGGAAAATGAGAGACGCACAAAGGTACGACAAGACCGGCCGTCTTCGTCAAGGCCACAAGACGAAGAGCCTGCTCCTGTCGACCTCCCATTCAGATACTTGTTCGAGCATGACCCCATGGTTCATGATGCATTTGTCCGTGACCATGCTAACCGACCCATATGTCTGGCCAAATCACTTGATACAACATTTTTTGAAGCGGAAGGTTTTAACATTGTGAGCTGGTTAGAGGGAGCACATCTTAGGGTTTTGGCTGAACTGTTGTGTCCATATTAAGAGCTACATGTACGGACCTTCTACCATAACCTCAGCTACATACAGGGTGAGCTGAGGTCAAGGGTCTGCGGGGTGGAGATCATCATGACGGCTCCGGTATGGTTGGAGTTACTGGGCTATGACTTTGATTTTGCGCAGACTGTGGAATATGACGCAGATAGCAGCGTCACACTTCCAGGATATACACAAGGTGATGCCGTGCAGGAGCAGATAAGAGTTAGTGGGCAACACATGCACTATACGGTTGGGTTGCTTACTGTGGAGTCCCGTATACTACACTATGTCATCACCCACATTCTGTTTCCGCGAGCGTTCAATCATTCCAGGGTGTTGGAACATGACATTCCCATCATGTGGGATATCCGACATGGTACTTCGGTGAACTGGAGGCACTACATCTGTTGGTTGATGTTTAATGCTAAACACAAGGGTGCACTTCTATTTGCTTGTCTTGTTCAGAGGATATTGGGTCACTTTGGTGTTCCCATGGGCAATGTGACCTTGAAGAAGACCACAGGGTATAATTGCAAGTTTGGAAAGCGTCTACTGGAGCAGTGCAAGATGACAAAGAACATACAAACAAGTGTGTGGCAGTTCAAAGGTGCGGCTGAAGTTGAGGTTCTTGATGTTGCTCCACTTGTAGACATGGTTGAGCCCGAGGTGGAGGATGATGATGACGATGATGATGAGACTGACTTGCAGGATATAGCTGAGCCTGAGGGTGGGTTTTCATTGCGTGATGTCATGAAGGGCATAATCGCCACGCTGAAGAAAATAGGAAAAATGGCGCTGAAACACAAAAAATGGAGGAAGAGTCACATCCAGAAAGGGAATGAAAGGTTTAGACACGTACAGGGAAGGTTCAAGGGTGTTGAAGATAGGCTTGCTCGTCTAGAGCTTGGACGAGGACAACAGGTTGAGGATGTTGCAGGGCAGGGGGCTGATGTGTCAGATGAGGATGACAAGGAGACAGCGTCCGAGGAGGAGGAGGATTAGATTTAGGGTTTATGTTTTTATTTTACGTTTGTAGTGTATGTTGTTATGTAATTGACTTCGGTCTTCCTATTTGACATTTGTAGTTTATGTGGTATTATGTTTAGGGGCTGAACTATTTAATATTATCAACTTTGTTGTTACTTATTACTTATTTATGTCATTTTCATTGTTTACCACATGAAGGATCATGGTATTTTTCCATGAAAATTTTCAATTTGGGTCTAATCACAGCCCAACAGGTCTAAAATGTCTAATGCAACTCAGAACAGTCACTCATAAGAGAGTTAAATGACTTTACCAAGTTTTGGGTACCCTAAACCAACATTTAGCCAATACATGTACATATATGGTTTATAATCGCCACGATACTTTTTTGTACCCCAAATTATGTTCCCCAAGTCATAATATGCGTGTACATTAGTGTCCAATCAGTTCCATGCCAAAAAAATTCGAGGAAAACAGAATGGGGTGCCAAAACCTGATATGTAGTCGATCAACCTGTACTGGTTTAGTCGACTACATATCAGGTTTTGGCACCCCATTCTGTTTTCCTCGAATTGTTTTGGCATGGAACCGATTGGACACTAATGTACATGCATATTATGACTTGGGGAACATAATTTGGGGTACAAAAAAGTATATGGTCCATTCGTATGCATTGTTGGGTACGTATTGATGGAAACCGTTTTTTTACGCTCCCCGAAACTTGGTGAATTCATTTTGAGGTCATATTAGTAATTGTTATGAGTTTCAATCTATAAATATGGGCCAATATTACTAATTTGAATACAAATCAACATACAAACAACAAAAAGTAACATACAGTAAACATTGTAACATAAAGTTTCATAACATAATTACATAAACTAAACCATAAACACATTAGCTCCCTCCCATGGTGCTCACTAACATCAACTTCATAAATACATGCATAACATTGGTTCAACTCTGTCTAATCCTCATAGGGCATGTACGTTTATTGTGACCAATTTTCTTGCAGGTGCTGCATCTACTTTGACTGCTTGTGGGTTGGGACTCAACCCAATCCATCTCATTCTGTTTCCTTGTAGACTTCGGTCTTCCTTGTGCACTAACCAAAGATGCATTTGGGATAATTGTTGGACCATCTATTTCTGCAATCAACAACTCATTACCCATTGGATACCAATGTGCAGCATAGACCTTCTCAATTTGTGTAATTGAGAACACAGGATCGACATAGTCATAGTGGTTCAATTTTTCAACCTTGCACACCGCTAACACATGACTGCAAGGAAATCGTCTAGCTGTGAACCGTCCACATTGACATTTACGATTTAGCAAGTCAACCCTCATAATGTCGCTGACATCATGCGTAGATTGATTGTAGGCATCCTCAACTTCAAACAACTGCAAGTCTCTATCAAAAACACGGACTCGGAGACTGACAGTAAACTGATCATTATTTTGTAAGAAGTCCTCAACCTTTTTTGCAATTCTCCAGCCTTTTTCCTTTGCTTTTTGGATCTTTTCACGCCTCTTGACAAAATACTCAACAAGTCTACTTTGCGTCATCTTGACCAATGCCGTTACTGGCAAATTACGTGCACCCTTTAGGACCTTATTGATACACTCAGATAGGTTAGTCGTCATATGACCAAACCTTCGGCCCTCCTCATCATAAGACCTGCATCATTTCTCTTTGGGAATCTGATCTTTCCGTGAAGCTACTTGTGGGTTACTGTCGACAAATTCTTGAAATCTTATATCAAAATGAATCTTCGAACACATGTAACCTGCAAAAAATGAAGACAAATTGAATGAGTTATACATAAACAGCATTACATACAACATGTACACATTCAAGAAAATTGTATACCTAGTTTCATCAGCGTTTTCTTCAGTTCCACGTCCCTAAACTTAGTGTTAAAGTTGCTTCCAATGTGACGAAGACAAAACACGTGATACGCAAATGGAGGCTGCCAACCGGCATGATCCTTCACAGCCCTGATGATGTTGGGGTGACGATCGGATATTAGACATAGACCATGCCTTTG